TGCACTTAATTGAGTTGGGCCTTTGCTAGTTGAGTCATGGTGCCCGTGGTCTTGCAATTCTTTGTGAAGGTGGATCATATTCGGGTCACCTTGTGGAACATTGGCTCGGGATTGCCAAGTCGAAGACGTATCCGCCATCTCATCCAAAATCTCACACGCCTCTGCATAAGGCGTAGTCATAAAGTTCCCACCGGCTAGTTGATTCACTACACATTGGTTGGTTGTGTTAATCCCACGATAGAAGGTTTGTTGAATCATGTTTTCCATCATGTCGTTGTTGGGATATTCCTTAACCATTTTTCTATAGCGCTCTCACATCTCGTGTAGTGGTTCATTTGGCTCTTGCTTGAATGCCAAAATCTCATCTCGAAGTGTTGCCATATGTCCAGGAGAGAAGAACTTAGCAATGAACTTTTCCGCCAACTCATCCCAAGTGTGAATTGAATGGTTCGTCAATCGTTCAAACCAATCTAAAGCTTCCCCAAGTAGAGAGAAGGGGAAAATCCTTAGCCTTAATGCATCCTCGGAGACATTTGTTTGCTTGCTCCCCCAACAAGTATCCACAAACTCCTTCAAATGTTAATAAGCATTTTGTGTTGGAGCACCGGTAAAGAATCCCCGTTGCTCAAGCAAAGTGAGCATCACATTGATTATTTGGAAGTTGCCCGCCCTAATACGGGGAGGGACTATTGTACTAGCATAACCTTCGTTGATCAATATCCGGTGTGGAGCCGCTCGTGGTGGAGGTGGTGTAGAATGGGAACATTGTCATGAGGAACCCCGCCTCTTCGATTGGCTTGAGGTTCAAGAGGTACCTCCTCAACTTGCTCATCCTCGCCGTCTGCATCCCTCAAAGGCATATTTTCAAGATCATTGTTCGCCGTCATAGTTATACCTAACATTTCTCACACAAGTTAGTAGCACGGAAAGAAAAGAAGATATTCCAAAAACAAACCCAAATATATAGCTCACACCATTTTAACTCCCCGACAATGGCGCCAAAAATTGATCTACGTCTAATCCTCACTCAATAGTGGGTGAAAACGATCGTTGGAAGAATAGTACCCAATAAGAGTCGGGGTCAATTTCCATAGGGAGTTACAATGGGTGTTAGGAGTATATACTTGACGAAAGCGAATGGAGTAACTAAATTATGCTTCCAAACAACCAGTTTTGATTTCTAAGTCTAATTTTACTTTACCAATTATAAGCTTTGAAAAGAAACTAGAAGCAAATTAGTGTTTTTGGTGTTTCTCCAAATAATTAAAAGGCCTATGGATGTGACCATAACCTAGGTGTTCGCCTAATGGATTATATACGTTAATACCTGATTTGTTGATTGGGGTGTATTATAGCTCTCAGCTCTACGTTACCCACTCAATACCTCTCGGTCAAAGAGTGATTTTGCCCAATTTGGCTTTCTCAAGTCCAAATGGGTTTCAAACAAAATAGTTGATATGAGCTCAAGTTGGATTCTCACTATCTCTAGTTTGAACACTTTAATTAGCTAATCAAACCCTCAATTAGCCCAATTCCTTGTTAGCCAAGTTATCCTAGACTAGGTCTCTCTTTCTCAAGTAGAGACTAAGCCAAAAAGGCATAAATCAATGTTTACAACCATTAATTTTAAAATTGAACTATAAACTAAGCTAAATAATCAACACATAATCATAAACAAACATTAAATTAAATACCCATAAAGTTTACACACTAGGGTTAGGTGACAACCCTAGTAAGAATCTAGCTACTCATAGTGAGAATTGAAGAAAATAAAGAAGAAATACTAATTAAACTCATAATATACGATTAGAATGGTAAAATATGATGTTTAAGACCGAAAACAATCACAAAATTCCTAAAATGGCAAAATGTAACAGTTACAACAGCTCAAACTTCAAAACTTGACCTAAAAATGTGAAACTCATCTATTTATAGTGGCCCAAAATTTGCTGACAAAAATGACCCTCGGGAGGTTCTGCGGCTGCACAATTCCATGTGCGGTCCGTAGATTTCTTCAGTTAGCAAGATCTTGGATTCTACAGCCACACAATTCTGGATTGCGGCTGCAAAGCATCTTTTGCTCTTTTGGACACTCTCTAAACTTTGAATCATTTATCAGTGCAGACCTTATTCTGCAGCCGCACAATTCATGTGCGGTCCGCACATTGGCCAAATTCATGTTGGGCTCTTTCACTTGATCTACGGCCGCAGATGGAATTCTCCGGTCCGCACTTTCTTCTGCGGACCACACTTCTTTAGTTCTGTGCCCTTTCTTGCCTTGTGATTCGGAACACTCCTTTTTGAGTCGGATTTCATCATGGGAGACCAAAATTCCAACATTCCTATAATTTGCACACTTTCATTAGTTTTGGGAACATAAATCAATACTTTCGGACTAAAACAAAAGCAAAAATATGCTAATAAGTAGTCAAAATCCCCACTTATTAGGTGGCCACATTTGCTGAAATTTATCATTCCCCCACGAAAAATCTTGGGGGAATAAAGGTTCATTAATCGAGCCAAGGATAGCTCATCTCCCGTCTTCTGGCATAGACACCGAAGACAAACAATTGTCCTCCATACAAAAGGACTTAGTTGCGCCAGGCATACCTGGTAGCGGATGCATAACTCCACGATGACGGAGTCAAGCTCCCAGCTCAAAGAAAATGGTCCCAAAGTGAAGGGATACGTATAAAAATACGTGAAACCCTTCTTGGGTAAGGTTATCCGCTCTGCTAGGTCAGGAGCAATGATATTTAGATCATGGCAATGGCAATCTTCCTTCACAGTAGAAATTCTGGAGGGACGGATGGAAAAAGGATACACACCAACAGCCCACGTGCGAGGGTTGGCGAAAGGATACTTCTCTTCGAAGTCCTTAGTGGTGACAAGATTTCTTGGGATGATGGTGTCCACCGTAGAAGGAGCAGTATCATCAGCTTTACCTTTGCTCTTTAAGGAACTAAGATTTCTGGAAGAAGAGGCCATTGTTATCATAAGGGAGAAAAGGGTTTTTACTGAAAAAGAATATTTGAGAAAGTTGAAGACAAGTATGAGTTAAGCAAAGAGAGTTCGAGAGATTTTGGAAAGTTATGAAGTGTAAATGGAGAAGTTTGATGCGTATAAGTAAAGGAATATGCGGCTAAAATCGTGGTCATAATTACTTCGATAACCTACAAAAGTGATGCTGAATTGTGGGATGGCGCGTGTTCAGGGCATTAAATGCGGAGAGACGTACGTCTAATCAACCGTCAGAAACTTTTCAGAGGGGGTCAGAGGATTTTCCGCCAAAAAAAGTATCTTTATCAACTTCCCGATTACACAAGGTTATGCCACAGGAAAGCAAGGGGGCTATATGTATAGGGTAAAATATGTTCATATTTAATGATCACATGAGGAAGCAACACGTGGAGCCGAAGACATAAGACAGTCTGGTCTGAAGGCAACGATCTCGAAGAGAATGGTATTCCTAAAAGCAAATTAAATATCTGCCACCCGGTAGCATTTAATGGAGAATATTAAATAGCATTAAGTGCACGGTTTGTTACAGAGAATATGGCATTCACCGCCTACCGTTAAACATTCTTCAATGGCCCTCATAATTGTCATTAAAGAGGGGCTTGATACTAGGACCTTGCTCTTTAGGTGCAACTATAAATAGAGAGCTCTACAATCATTGTAGGGGAGACGAATTTTCTAACAAACGAATACTATACTCTGTTCAAAAGCTCAATAATATTTTCTTAATTACTAATATTGTTATTACTGCCTCCGGAAGCTCTGCTCCGGGAATCAAGATTGCTACTGTCTTATCTAGATTTCAATGCTAAGTCTTATATTCTTGTCTAATTTATTTATCATTTTAGGATCAAATCGATTCACTTGTCTATAAACCACGTANGACGCCAAAAACCAAGAATCCAATAATGGCTCTAAGCTTTTGGATGTTCCTATCACTGCTTCTAATCCAATACTAAGCTTCAAGCCTGATTGCAAACGAAAAAGAATAATCTATGATAATAGGACTATGGACCTTCCAAGTGTGATTATGGTTGAAATTCTTTCAAGATTGCCAATCAAGTCCATTTTCTGTTGTAAGACTGTTTGCAAACTCTGGTATAATCTTTTTACTTCTGACCCTTTTTTTTCCTAATATGTATCGCACAAGATCGCTTGTTCCCTGCCTTTTGCTTTCGGTTGATGCATCTATTACTTCCATCCTTGAACTCAAAGCAGATTATGATTGTTATTCTTGCCCAGTAAACAGACCTATTATGTTGAACCCTAAGTTTCACCTACCTCCACTAGAAAGTCCAGAATCGAAAATGATTCATAATCGTGTTGTTGTTAAACCAAAGTGGCAACTAATTGGTTCATTCAATGGGTTCATTGGTTTGTTGAATAGGGATATATATGATAAAATCCATTCAGTATACATTAGCAATCCTCTTTTGGGTGAGTATTTCAAGCTTAAATTGCCCAAACGAAAGAAAAGTGTTTATTGTGTTGGTTATGGATTTTGCTTTAGTGAAACCTCTGGACAGTATAAAGTATTGAGATCAGTAAATAGAAACTTTAGTGTTGTATCTGAATTGGAGGTTTATGCTCAATGGAGAAATTTAGGCGAAGCTCTGTGCCCTGTGTGGCGATATTTTGGCGATGTTTATGTCTGGTGCTCTTCATTGGGTGGATAGTGAAAAAAATGACAGCACTTACTCGTTTGATGTTGGGACAGAAAAGCTGAAATTCATATCAGCTCCACCTGGTTTGGAAACTGCACCCATACACTTGAAGCTAATAGAGTTGAGGAATTGTCTGTGTTTGACTAGTGGTTTTATCTCCAAACAGCATGTTGATATATACTATATAGACCGCCATTGCTTAAAAGATAATGCAAAGAAAAAAAATAATTTGGAATAAAACCACAGATCTAAACTCGGATACAAGTTGAGTTGTGATAACAAGCCGACAGTACTTATGCAGAATTTTGTGTTCGCCACCTAACATCACTCCCATATGCTCTTAAACTTGTCAATGTGCTTGAAATCATAATTCATCACCAGGCTTCTATCCATTCTCCTCAACACAAACCTCTCAACCAACACATAGCAACTTAATCTTCTCCATTCACTACTATTTTCTCTGTATTGTTCAACTTGTTTAATTCTACCTTGGTTTTGCCATCCCCTTTTTTATTGTTCCCACTTCATTCTTTGTACTATTTCTTGTCTCAGTCCCACACTAGGTATTTCTTTTCCATTTTTATCATAGCTTCTAAACCATATTACTCCATCAACAACATTTGTTTCATCCCATGTTGCTTTACTTTCAGCAATATGGACAATTTCTATGTCAAGTGCAACATCCACAAGTACTGAATTCCCTTCATTGTATTCATTTTGACAAAGTGAAAAACTGCTCCCATTTCTGTTCCAAGTGTCATTTCATAGAACATTGATCTCTCCATTTGCTCTTTGACTGTTCCATCTTTGATAAACATGAACGGACAATACCATTTCCCTACAACAACAGCTTCAAAACTTTTACCAAATGGTGTCAAATTGAACTCTGGAAGTTGTTTCCTCAACTCAACATTGAGGCCTAGAGCATCATCACTTAGTTCATAATTTTTAGGAGTTTTGGCACAAAGATGCCAACCTTTTCGCCTAAGAAACCGCGGTGGAAAACCATCAGGAGCAAGAGATTTAGCAAAAAAGCTACCTTTACCACTGCAACTTGTAACATATAGAGAGATCTCATACTGCTGATATACCTCCTCTGGATCTAATGGCTTCGGTTTAACGTCACGTATACATCTGCAGAAACAGCAGTTTTGTTTGTCTTCCTCCTTTGAACACGTGAATGCTTGTCTGTAAAAAGGCCAATTGGGAATTGTGAGATTCATTACCTTAGTCACAATGGCCAAAGCTTTTTTGAGTCGCCTTTGCCACTATACAAAAAGGAGATGTTATAATACACATAAACATACATATATGTATATAATATACATACAAAAAAAATTGGTTTTACCCCTATTTGCGCGGTATAATTTTCTAACAAAAGAGATTTAATTGAACCCCCTTTGGACCATATAGATCCTCCCTTGACCTTGGTTTATTCAGGCAAAGATATAAAACCAGAAAATGAGTTTTGCCATAATAAATTGTTATGCACTCCAATTAATGAAAGGCTAAGACACAATAATGAGGCTGAACTTCGTAAGCTGATTTCTTCTAAAGTACAGACAGGATTTCGAATATTCATATTTATGTTATTACTAGCTCCAGAGGCGGACCCAGGATTTGAAAGTGACAGGAGCACCATTGCGAATAAAATTTGAGCAAATGCTAGAGTTGGCATCGGACCTAGGCACCGCACCAAAAGTCAAGTTGTGTTCCGCTAAATCGACCAATACAGCTGCCTAAGATTTTAATCTTAGGATGACAATCAAAATATACCTGTTATTTAAAATATATATACGTATGTACATATATTTTTTCTGACGTTTAAGGGGGCTGGTGACCCCCTACCCAAAGGGTAGGTCCGCCTCTGACTAACTCATGTCAATTATTAAAAAAACACAATTAGACTCTCACACAAAATTAAATGTGTAGATAAAGTAACATACCCTTTGCTCTCTCCATGAGGTTTGATTGCATAATAATGATTGGAAGACAATGGCTTATTAAGAACTGTAATGAACATTACATCTTCCTTTAGAATAATCTTGTTCTCACCATCACCAGCTTCGTATCGAACAGTCAACTTCTTGTTCTGAGGGAAAGGCAGGTCCATGATATCATGATTTTTGCAAAGTCCAAAACAACAATATGTTTCAGATTCCTCATCTTGAACCACTAAGTAACCTGAATTTGGACCTTCAGGAGGCAATGAAAGAGCATCTGGATTCTGTTGGTAGTAAGAAAGAGGCCTTGTTACATACATTTTCAGCAAAAACTGCAAACTGTTTTTAATTTCTGTCTAAAAAAATTCTATGTGGATCATGTTAATAATCTCTCTCTCTCTCTCTCTCTCTCTATATATATATATATATATATATATATGACTAAAAATAACTCATTAGGCCATAGAATCAGCTAGTCATCAACATGATGATAAATTCTTTATTTTCTGTTGGCCTTCTGTTAGTCTTAGGTTGACTTTCTGCGGCAATCCACGTAGGTTCTATCTGAGGAATTTGTTCCAAGTGTCCACACCATTTCTTGTGTTGAAGGATATCATGGAGATCATGATCTCGTTTAATTTAAAATTCAAACTTCTGTACAGGAACAACTTGTCATATAGTCAAAGATGAAAAGAATAATTTATTGCTTTAGTGGCAAAGTGGCATGGTTTAATCTGTGTATCTATTAATTCCACATCTATCCAACATATAAACAAACATTTATTATGTGTTTGACAGTCAGAAGGATATGTTTTGGGAGGGCTTAATCAAAAACGATTTAATTTAAATACACTGATAATTTTTTTTGATAAGGTAAATTGTATTAATCAAAAGAGAGAGAACTCTCATGTACACGAAATATACCCAAGACGTAGAGAATTTACATCAGAACATGATTCTCTACAAAAGACGCCCAATCTTCTATACAAGTAGGGGTTAAATGAGTGCACCAAAAAGTGATCAAAGATAAAAGGCTATTCTTAAGATGTGAAAAAGGAGACTCAATCTCCTCAAAAGCTCTCCTATTTCTCTCCCCCAATACTACCCCCACATGAGAGCTAACGGGGCGAATTTCCACGCTTTTTGCTTTCTTCTTCTACGAAAACCGCCCCAGCTATATAACATTTCCTTTACAGTGCTTGGTATCACCCATTGAACACCAAAAAGATTCAGGATTGACCTCCACAATGCAGAGGACACAGGGCAATGCAACATAAGGTGATCAACTTCTTCCCCAGAGCTTTTACAAATGTAGCACCAGCTAACAAGTGTAATTCCCCTCTTTCGGAGATTTTCAGCAGTCAAGATCACTCCCTTTGCCGCTAGCCATGCAAAAAAAAACACTTTCGTGGGCGCCCTAGGAATCCAGATCGAGGAGTATGGAAAATTGGTCTCCTCTCTCACCAACATACTCTGGTAAAAGGTCTTTACGGTGAACAAACCATTGCCACGCAAGCCCCATCTCCAAGAGTCACAGGATGGCTGGAGCATGTCTTGCCCGTATAGCAG